CTTGTCTGCCAACCCCACCGGTGTGTATCTCCGCCTAATCACCGCTCACGGGCGCATGCTGACAGCCCCCTCCACCCGCTTGATGTTTTTTTCATGTCTGCACAGCAAATCACCCCACACCTCCGAACCCATGCAACCCCCCCCCTTCTCTTAAGTATGCCGCGGTCTTGCCTGCGTCCTATTAATTTTGATGACCTGGCAGCGTCCGCCGGTGGCACTGTGCTGCGATCCGCGCGCGCCACTTTTTCCTCCTCTTCCCTCGCTCGCGCGCGCGCCTGCTTCTCGGGGTGGCTTTCCTCCTGGCTCCCGTCCATCGGTCCGTCCGCCCGCGTGTTGGCCGGATGGTGATGAGGACGGTGATGAGGAGGATGAGGCTGAATTCGTGGAAGGCGCTGGGAGCGCGGCGCGCGCGGTGACGCGGCCAGCGCCGGGCCGGGCCTCGAGGGGGGGGAGGGCGGGTTGAGCGCGCACAATTCCCTGCTGGGCGTCATGTGTGCCTTCTACTTGCAATTGCAGAGCAATATCTTCGGCGGGCTGGATGAGAGTCTGCTGGCCCGGGCCGAGGCTCTGGCCGCCGTGGACATCGTCTCCCAGAGCAAGAGCCACCACCACCATCACCACCCGCCCCACCACAGCCCCTTCAAACCCGACGCCACGTACCACACCATGAACACCATCCCCTGCACGTCGGCGGCGTCCTCCTCCTCCGTGCCCATCTCGCATCCGTCCGCGCTGGCCGCCGGCACCCACCATCACCATCACCACCATCACCACCACCACCACCAGCCGCACCAGGCGCTCGAGGGCGAGCTGCTGGAGCACCTGAGTCCCGGGCTGGCCCTGGGCGCCATGGCGGGCCCCGACGGCGCGGTGGTGTCCACGCCCGCGGCGCACGCCCCGCACATGGCGCCCATGAACCCCATGCACCAGGCGGCGCTGAGCATGGCGCACGCGCACGGGCTGCCCGCGCACATGGGCTGCATGAGCGACGTGGACGCCGACCCGCGGGACCTGGAGGCGTTCGCCGAGCGCTTCAAGCAGCGGCGCATCAAGCTGGGGGTCACCCAGGCCGACGTGGGCTCGGCGCTGGCCAACCTCAAGATCCCGGGCGTCGGCTCGCTCAGCCAGAGCACCATCTGCAGGTTCGAGTCGCTCACGCTGTCGCACAACAACATGATCGCGCTCAAGCCCATCCTGCAGGCGTGGCTGGAGGAGGCCGAGAAGTCCCACCGCGAGAAGCTCACCAAGCCCGAGCTCTTCAACGGCGCCGAGAAGAAGCGCAAGCGCACGTCCATCGCCGCGCCCGAGAAGCGCTCGCTCGAGGCCTACTTCGCCATCCAGCCGCGGCCCTCGTCCGAGAAGATCGCCGCCATCGCCGAGAAGCTGGACCTGAAGAAGAACGTGGTGCGCGTGTGGTTCTGCAACCAGAGGCAGAAGCAGAAACGGATGAAGTACTCCGCCGGCATCTAGGGGACCCTGGGCCTCTCCGGGGACCGGGGACTGCTGCCCGGCCGCCTTCCCTCCTCCCGCCCGCCCGCCCGCCTCGCTCTCCGTCCCGCTCTCCACCTCCCTCCATCCCACTCTCCACCCCTTTCCACCTCTCTCCATCTCTCTTGCTTTCTCCATCTCTCTCTCCATCCTCCTCCCCTTCTTTCCTTTCCACTTTGGGCGACCAGAAAGAAGTCCAGTCAATGTGAATCCTGAAAAAAGCGAGGGTTGGAGAGGGAGCAGACAAGCGAGCGAGCGAGCCACGTAGTCAGCTAGAATGTGAACCTTTGCTCAAAGTAGAGAGATAGCGAGCGGGAGGGGGGGGAGAGGGGTCTGTCAAGTTGGAGCAAGGTCGCCTCCCCGCACTGCACTCGGGCCGCGGCGGAGGCGGGAGCGGCTGCGCGGAGGACACCGACGCCCGGCTCCCCACGCCGGCCAGCGCCAGCAAGTAAGATTCGTTTTTATTCTTATGGCCGTCGCCCTTGTACGAGTTTCAAAGTACACTTCGCAGCTATTTTTCAGAAATAGAAATTTGATTCAGGACTGAAACTCTAAAGTAGAGTTGATGCTTAATGTGATAGAGACATCTCTAAAGTATTTTGAATTTAAGAAAAAAAGATGGCAGATTTTCTGCATTTACACTGTATATTATATATATATATTTTTATTGTGGTTCCTAACTCCCCTTCTTCCTTCTCTGAAGTGTTCATGCTTAAGAAAGGCGTCGTCTGCTGTGTTCACTGATCTTGAAAGCTATTATTAGATTATTGCCAAACAACCCTCTGTAAATTATTAATTTATCTCTCTAGCAACTTAATTTGTGCACATTCTAATTAATTAAATGTCTTTAGTCTTTAAAAAAACCGGGAGAAAAATATAGCTAGTGGTGTTGAAAAAATTTTTTTTACTTGATGAGTTTGCCGAATTTTTACAGCTTTCCTGTTAGGCTGCATTGCTTTTGGCCTATTTGTATATTCTCACTTTGGGATGAAGATTGTTTTCCTTTGTTTTTGCTGGTAGTGTTCTGATTTGTGAGTTGACGCTCCGTAATGGATGTCCTAATCGTGTAGACCTGATTCACTGTCCTGAGTATTGCTTACTTCCTTACATATTTAATGGGGATTCCCAGATTGTCCCCAACTCACAGTGCTCCCTCACTGGCCCTTACACACTTACACACACACACACACACACTCATCAGTAACAGAAGCGAGAAAGCAATTGAAAGCATGGCTGTTGCATCATTCTCTCGCTGTAGGTGCATTTTCCACTTGGTGCTTGGCCCTCCAGATCTAAGATTCACCAAGGTATTTCAATCTTCCAGTTTTCAATTGCTTTGTTGACTACCTTTGGCATTTATAGAAATTCTTTCAGTTTTTTTCCTTTTGGAGGTTGGTTTGTAGAAAAACGAATTTGAACTCTAAGACAGTGCACTGCTTCTACATTCATATTGTTTGGTAAAATTCTTTTTGAACAAAAAAAACAGGTACATGGAGACTGGTACCTTATCTGTTGTAAATATTTCATTCCAAATGATGCACATATAGATATATTCTTACAAATTTTGCTGTATTGCTGTACCATTGGAGGCTCCCTGAGTCTTGAGTTCTGTATATGACCTGGTTTCTTGTTTTTGTTAATAGATGGTTTATTTATTATGGTAATGTATTAAGTTATTTTGGGTGCTGTTTGATTGTCTTTCATTGAAGAGATGATTTTAATGTTTTATTGGCAAAGTATGCTGCTTTTTCATTAAAATATGCTATTAATATTAAATGGCTTTTTAAAATGTGATGCTGCTTTAATCATTTATGTGGGAAATATTTTGGTAGGGATTCTTTTGTAAAGGTAGAAGCGTGTTTTTTGATGGTTTATAGGAACTGGCTGTTATCAAAGTATGGCCTGGACTCAGAGGAGGGTGTTTCTCTGGGAAAGTGGAAAAGAGCAGGATTTATAACAGCATTGTAGAAGCTAGAGCTAACCTCACAGAGTGCTTTGCCTTTCTGCTCAGAGGAAATTATGATAGTTGGCTCCAAATGTCTCCTTTCTCCAGTCCTGAAATGATTCTGCAAAGAGAATTGTATAAGCAAAGATTGGATGGAAGCAATTTCATCCACTGCTTCCCATCCCCAATGGGTAAAGAGAAGAAAGGAACTCAGTTCACTGTTTTGTTTTGTTTTGTTTTCCTCACAGCAGTGGAAGATTGGGTGTGGCCAGGGCCAAAGCCTGGGTAGCTGGGGCCCAGGTTCATCCACTGGAGCTTACTATGCACTCACCACACCTGGAGAGCTATTGCTCAGGACATAGCAGAGAGCACCTGGGCTACTGGCCTGTGAGCTCAACTCTCTCTCTTCCTCTATTTCTTTCTGTCTCTCAGTCCCCATCTCGTTATAAAGAATCTCTCATCACTGCAATAGACAGGGTGGGACAGGGAAGCAGCCATTTTTTGGTCATATCTGGGACTCAGTCTGACTCCAGAGTTGAAGGAAGTCTGTCAACACTAATCTGGAATAAGGAAATTCTGCCCACTCAAATCAGCTATTTCTTTTTCTGATCCTACAACAAAGACATCTCCCTATGCATCTTAACAGTTTTCAGGTTTCTGGTAACAGTTGAGCAACATACTAGGTTTTCAAAGTCTTTTTCCCCACCAGGTTATGATTTAGTAAATTTGCAACAATAGTGTATGCAATTAGTTACTATGAGAATATTATATTAATACACAGATCAAATGAGAGGAAGGAACAAGGTTATTCCCCAGGAGGTAATTCTGCTAACCTGAAGTGTGCCCCTTTTGATAGGCACCTGTCATAGGAAGGTTCTTAGTTGGAAGAGGGATAGGAAAATAGCCCCTAAGTCAATTTTACAGTAGCTCAAGTTGGAATTAAATACTGCTGGAAATGATTATAATTTCCAGATATCACAAAAATAGTTGTAAGAGTTGGTTGGAAACTTGGTGGGAGATCTTTCCTTCTATACCAGAAGTAAATAAAACATTGGAAGAACTAATCACAGAATATATGACCATGATGCTTTAGAAAACGTGGACATGTAAGCTTCTACAAGAAAAAACTATGAATGCAACTTAGTGATATTGATAGTTATTTTATTTCCGTGGTTTGAAGAATATTCCTTCCTCCGTTGCTTTCTCTATTCTTGTGTTCAGTTCTTTAGAAAGTCTTTTAAAACAGGCAGCTCTGTGAGTATGTTTCAGCACCATGGCTAGCGATCACCCGGCTCAACAGTTCCAACTACCCGCAGAACTTCGGGCTTTTTTTTTCATCCAGAGTGGAGATGATGAATGAAATAACTTATCAGACATATATATGACAAATATCTTCAATAAGTAATGCTTTCCCATATGTGAGTTTATACCGGAAGAGTAGACTAAGAGTACGAAGGGAAAGGTGAATTAGTTAAGGGGAAGATAGACACATAGGTTAGTGTTACTGTGTAAATGATAACACCATCAAGTGAAGAGAGAGATCATGTAAAAGTGGTAAAACTTTAAAAAGTGTTGACCCAAAGAAACAAAGTGGGTATTTATTCCGTTGGCATGTTTTGAAGTACATAAAACTTGTACATAATGATTGACTTAAGGTTTTGGTGAAGAAGTTACAAAACAACGTAACAACTATAAATACTTCAACATTGGAAGATATAAATTTCCTGTAATACACTCAGTTTTCTTTGTCTTTTGTGCTCTAGGATTTTCTAAACTATATCACATTTTATGTTCATCTTCTGTGTTTTGCAAGGGTAAAATCTTTCTTGCCTATAGGATGGAAATGTTGCCATTCTTACAGGCAACAAATATTTATATTTAAACCATAAATATATGTTTTATAGGAAAGCAGATTCTCTTTTAGAAAGAAATATATTTTGAAGTGTCTAACTGATGAGAGCTGCAAAGGCAGACCAAGCCAAAAAGTTTCGACGAGAAGGGTATTGAAAGACAAATTAAAGGTAAGAATAGAATGAAGTGATCTAAAATCCTTGAGAGATGTCCTTTTGGTGTTGATTTTCTAAATGCCAAATAAATAGATATCAAAATGTGTCTGAAAATCCTCATTTTATCAGTTAAATGCATTGGCATTCATATCTCATTTCCCACTTTTTCTCAATATCCACAATTGATTAAAAATGAGATATGAGTAGGCTTAGTGATATAAGTAATCTTCCTAAATTTTATGGTTTGTAACAATGTAGTTTTATTTTTTAAACTTCTCTAGAAGCGAGTTACCTGATTGTTTTTGTTCAAAATGGTCACGTGAACATGAGATAGAACAAGCCATTAGCTGTATGCTGGAAGTGCTATAAATAAAAACTGAGATGGAGCAAGGCAGTGCCAGAAAAGATCCTGTGCTGAGTGTGGTGTGGGTGCCTGTAATCTCGGCACTTGGGAAGCAGAAGCAGGAGGATCATGGGTTCAAGATTAGCCTGGGCTACATAATAAGATCCTTTCTCAGAAACAGAGCACAGCACACCAGAAGTATACCCTGAATGTTGTCTAAGTGTCCTGTCCACCACTCTCCACAATGCAGTTTCTTTGGGGGTATTTTGTATTAGCCCAGTTCATTAATTCTTTATCAAATTAAGTCTCATTCACACATGGGGGTGTATGGAGAAGAAAAGTATGAAAATGCAAGTATAACTTAGGATTTACAGACAATGTAATACTCGCCTATTTTCTATAAAATACATTCTGCTGTTTAACAACATGTAAACATACTTTATGTTGTTCAAGAACAAATTCTGTGGTCTCTTTTTGCTGAGTGAGAGAATTGGATCTTGGGGCCAAAAGGTTTTATTTTACACGTCTAATGAATCAATTAATTTTCATCTATTGGATAAGCTCTTGAAGAAAGGATGGGAAACAAGCCACTTGATTTTATAGAACCTGTTATTCAGAGGGTAAATTCAAAATGTTTAGGTGATTAAATTTAGAAATTTGTCTTTGCAATTATTTGGTCCCAACAGCC